TTTGGCCGACGAGCGCGACATTTATGGTACGAACCGTACGCTAAGATATCAATAAGTGAACGCAACGTCTGTATTATAGGTCGGTCTCAATGGAGCGCACTGTCCAACAACGACCGCCCGGTGCGACAGCAACTCATCTATAACGTCAACCCGGTGTACGACGTGTCGGCCATTCGTTGGCACGACTGGAAACTCATGCAAAACTCGCCGTTGGCTCTGACCGCCTACCGGTCGGCGCCGGTGGCCTATTCAACCAACGCCTCAACTAAGGGCCAGTCGTTCAAAAGGCGGCAGACTATGGATCGCGTGTCGTGTAAGTCATACGACGTGTTGTCCCGAATGGATAGAGCGCCCGATTATGAGGCGCTCAGCGATGCGGTTGTGGAGTGCGGGCCGACGCCTGTCGCTACAGACGCCGCGAATGACTGCCCAAAAGGACAGTTGTGTTTGTATAACCTTCGGCACGATCCGTGCGAATACCATAACCTTATCGCCGAAACGGACCCGGAGTTCGTGCGATTCCTATGGAATAAATTGGTCACATTTAACGGGACATCAGTGCCGCCCCTGTCGCTCGTGCCACTCGATCCTAGAGCCGACCCAAGCCTTCATAATAACCGGTGGACTAATTGGTTGGACACCGGGGAACAGGCAGATCAGGTGGACGGGAGTATTGCCAACAAAGTGGAACTATGATACTGTATGGGAACTGGCAAATTGACCTAAAAACCAATTGACCTAAACTTAAATTACTTAATGACCAATAGACTTGACCATTGTAAGGATAGGTAAGGTTAGGTTAGGTCAAGAGCAACATTTTACACTGGTCATCAGGTATATTTATCTACTGGTCATTAAGTTATTTAAGTTTAAGTCAATTGGTTTTTAGGTCAATAGACCCGCACCCTACTGTGGTTCTTAAAACTACACTTTGAATGTTTGCATAACATTTGTAATGCATTCCTTTTAAATGTAATTTGATACTAAAATTCAATGTTATTTTTTTGGCAAAAGTTAATACATTGAGTCTATGGGAGAGTGCTTTATATTAAGTCATTCTTAACTCAGCTCTCATACCCTTAACTCTAATATTATGTAATAAGTATTTTTAATAAATAAGTTTAAATAAAATATTTAATTAATAAATCTAACGGTCACTACAATACTGATTTGTAGCGACAGAGTATAAACTTTGCCAATATAAATGTCCCATTTGTGGAACTGTCTCAAGGAGTTGGCGGTGACTGCAGTGACGTCGACATGTCATGATTGGCCCGATGTTTGGCCCCATAAGCGTTGAAACGTTGGTATGAGTCCTTCGTTCAGGACATGTATGTCTTCAGTGGCGAAGAAGTCACTCAATGTGATACCTCGCGGGTAATCAATAGGTGCGCCTTATTAGCCGGATGTGGCGTTCGCGTCCATACCAACGGAGATCTCATGTCTTAATAGTTGAGTGAACGCCAGACATGCGATCTGTTGTTCGTGGGCTTCTCCTGTGGCGTGCGGGCGATGGTGTGCCGACACAAGTTATGGAATCGTTGTGTGATGAGTGTGGCAACGGTGTGGCACTCGTCTGACAGTTGTATCATGTGATGAACGCAGAGTTGTCTTAGAGGGGTGTGGGTCTATTGACCTAAAAACCAATTGACCTAAACTTAAAT